GAAAGCGGCGGGAGGCTGGCGAAATGAGTACTGTATATATGTAATATCAAAGCAATCGGACTTGCGTTTTTACAAGAAGTCAAAAATATCACTTTTACCAAAAATAACAAAAATATTCACCAAAATTAAAGAATTGAGGATATCATCACAAAATGAACAAATCTGAGAAAGGTCCACATGTAGTACCTATATATGTAATATCAAAGCAATTGGACTTTTGGTTTTTAACAAGAAGTTGAAAATATCACTTTTTACCAAAAATGACAAAAATATTCACCAAAATTAAGAAATTTAAGATATCATTATGAAATGAACAAATCTGAGAGAGGTCCACATGTAGTATCTATATCTGTAATATCAAAACAATTGGACTTGCGGTTTTTAACAAGAAATCAAAAATATCACTTTTTACCAAAAATTACAAAAATATTCACCAAAATTAGAAAATTTAAGATACCAACATGAAATGAACAAATTTGAGAAAGGTCCACATGTAATACCTATATATGTAATATCAAAGCAATTGAACTTTTGGTTTTTTAACAAGAAATCGAAAATATCACTTTTTACCAAAAATTACAAAAATATTCACCAAAATTAGAGAATTGAAGATATCATCATGAAATGAACAAATCTAAGAGAGGTCTACCCCAGGTACATACACACCAAGTATCAAAGCATTCAGGCTTGTAGTTTTCAAAAAGAAGTCGAAAAAGTAAAACATTGACACGGACGACAATGGACAAGCACTCATATGATAATCTCCGCTCGACAAAGTCGACAGCAGAGCTAAAAAAGTTTTCTTGCATCTACTATAAGATCATGATTATGTCCCTTGAACATGAATATATATATATGAGAATAATATGTAGTTGTACACTGAATGCATACAAAAAATTCATATGCAACACAGTTCAAATTGACTATGAAAACGAAATGTACCGGTATATCCAGTGAACAGAGCAGCGCATACACAAAAATTAGCATAATAAAAGATGACCTGTCTGACATTTTACTGACCGCGTCAACGCCAGGGTTGTGTACAGTTTGGATAATTAAAACAATGGATTTTCAACGTTTTCATTCCGTTTTTTATACAATTTGGACTGTAATTTGCCCATTGAAAGTACAGTTGTAAAATAAACCAGTTTTGTGACTCATCATACTACTTGTAACTGTGGATATTTGACGTTCAGCGGTACTTGGTTCGACCGGAATTTGAGACATGGCGGGACACGGTAGTGTAACATGTACAGTGACCGGCATGGCAACCTCAGTCCCAACATCTGACCTGGATACATCTTTGGTATAATAATTTTGTGACAGTGTGCCTGACAGGTTGTGTCGTTGCTCTGGGGTAAGTTTGTTGGTGTAAAATCGGATTCTTGCATCGTTTTTGTGACACATACATGATATGCCTTGCCTCAACTTCGGCCAAATGAAGGACTTTGCATGCCGGTGCTCTGTACTGTGGTTGGTGTACACTCGGCAGAAATCTTCAGATTTCGAAATTACCTTCATCATTTATTTAACCATAGTGGAGAATTACAATACCATATATCGTCGTTGAATTCTGAGTTGTCCCGTGTTTTTTGAATGGCAATTACCTGGGTGCAATTTCACTGCAATTTTGTCAGCTAGAATTTGAACGCCGCTACGGGACACCGGTTGTTATTGGTGTCGAACAATTTTTGCCTGTGACTTGTAGTTTCTTGCATTTTTGTTTGTCCTTCAATCCCCTCAGCTCATCTAGTTAGTCACCAGTTAAACTTAAAGATCATGTTTTTTTTGGTCGAGGTTCGCAATCCATTTCAAAGTCACAACACGAAGAACACAGAGTTCTGGCATTCGCTTAGGCACTGTCCCTCACGGTGTTGAGGGAGGGTGGTTTAGGTTTGTGTGGCGAACGACGATCAACCAACGACTGACGCTCACAACTTGGATCCCGCCATTAACAAAAAGCAATATTATGGTCAAATAATTTTTCAGATGTTTTTAATTCGGTATTTTTTCCAATATTTTTCCAAAATTCAGCCACTATATTTTCCTAAAAATCAAATACTACTGGTTTAATGTATTTCCACATTAAACCTGTAGTCAATTCATATTTCAGGGCCACTTGGTTTAGCCATGCATTATCAGCCAATATACCATTAATTGCATATGCAAATTTTGTGTTTCGACCAATCAAATCGATGGATTACCACCATCAATATACTGGTATAATATAATGTG